GAATCTTATTTCATGATATAAATTAGACTGATGAAAATACAAGGTAGACTTGAGACAAATTAGTATCAGAAATGGGTCATATATGGATCGGATGATAGTTCCAAAGGTCGAGGTCACGTGTAAACAGATTAGAGATGAGTCAACTGAATTGTAATGCACATAGACTTTGGATAGTACGTAGTTCCATACCACTTGGAATTGAAGTGTTGGTACCGTTGGTAGAAAACACAAATAATAATAAAAAATAAGATTATTATTTTCTGGAAAGAAGGGAAGAAAAGATGAAGAAAAGTGGCTAGTGTTTGGTGTTGGGTTTTTGCAAGAGTGAAGTGAGCACTTTTTCCTTAAAACCTTATTTGCCACCTCCCAAAGATGCTAGGAGCGTTGTGGCCTAGGCTTCCCAGGATAAAACTTGCTAATGATTCAATGTTTGAGCACTCAAACAAGGAATCCGGCGAGCAAGACAATGGCTATGAACACAGTAGGCCAAGAAAGAGTAGAAGCAGAGAGGTTTTGAAGCTGAAAAAAAGGCCAGAGAGGTTTTGAAGCTGAAAAAACGCCTCTACCCTCCTCTCTTATATAGGGTTGAAGGAGTCAATAGCCTTTATTATGGCCTCAACAGTTAGAACTCTCGGGTGCCCCAGGTGCCGGCGCACACGAGCTCGGGCTTGAATCAAGCCTTTTTCAATCTCTGAAAGTTGGAATTTGATTTGCACCCCCCCTCCCTGCGCGTGCGAGAGAGCCTCTATGCTATACAATTCTACAAGCTTCAAAAGAGCTCTTGTATATAAGGGGGGAAAATGTTCATTCCAAAGCAATGTGGGACAAAAAGCTCACTTTTTCCCTTCATTTTCCAACTCAAATGGGTCTACTTTGAGAATCAATATCTCATTCACCCATTATCCGTTTTGAGCGTACAATATATCGATCTCTTCATCTCACTACGAAGAATCCGAATCCACTTTGACCCGACCCAAATCGGAAGTGGACCCCACTGATAATTGTACCACAAAATAGCCACTTAACATGCCATTTTAAGCTATTTTTTCCAACATGAAGTTGGCGTTCTAAGAGTCGAGATCACGCGTAAACAGATTAGAGTTGAGTCAATTGAATTGTAATATACATAGATTTTGGATGGTACGTAGCTCCATATATACCACTTGAAATTGAAGCTGGCATTGCAAAGGTTGATGAGGGTTTGACAATCTATCCCAAAAACCACACAATAATGAATATGATTTGATATACATATATATGGTGGTTAAGACATCAAACCAAAGATGATTATATAAAAGATGTACACGGGTGGAAGATCTCTAAAGATACGTTGGTATCTGGTCAACTGTTTTAAATTAAATGAAGATATATAGATCATCAATGACAGATGCATGAGAATCTTCATTAATTAATCTGCACTGCACACGTATGCCTGGTTGGCAAATTTCTGGGTCTTCAATTCAAGACAATAATGGAACCCGACAACCCTAATCAAGTTGATTAAACAATTGACTTAGTAACCACAAGATTTTAAGTTCTATTTTATGTGAAAATTATCTGTTGACATTTTAGATTTGAGCTGGTCAGTTATAGACAACTTAATTTGATTTACTTTAAGATGTATGTACCCGTAATAAGACAGGTAGAACAATATATAGATGGATATGCATGGTGGGGTTTTAACGTGCGACATATAAAAGAGATCTTCCGGCTCCATAGTACATACTAAGTATATATACATGTGCACGAGTGGGTTGTCATGTTGGAAACCTCCGTGAAGGAAGTGATAGGTATATTGAATTCCATGCATGTGCATATAGTTGGTCGGTTTTCGTGTTTTTTACATTACAGATCCTTTAATAATGAGTTCATCTTTACCTAGCTAGATATTTCTATGTTGTGTTAAAAGTTAACGGTTCATACAAGTTCTTGAATAATATATATAGTGTTTTCATGTTTTAAAAATGTTTTCTTCAATCAAGTGTACGTAATGATGCTGGATGGCAAATTATATCGTGGTGCATAATCGATTATGTACCGAGTTTCAAAATGATGTCGTTTTGTTTAATGAAAAGAAACGGCACCCAGCTCGTTTCGTGCCGTTCCGCAAAAATAACTCTGTTATTCAGCTTCATTTTGTATACACTGCAGTTTCAGTTCAACACAACTACAGTTTCATTTCGATATAACTACAGTTTCATTCGATATTTATACACTCAAATATGTGAAAATTAAATGTTATTTAATTTTATTTTATATACACTATAGTTTCATTAAAACATAACTACATGATCATTTCGATATAATTACAACTTCATTGCACAATATACACTCAAATATGTGAAATGTTAATCAGTTTCATTTCACCACAACTACAGTATCATTTTGATATAACTGCAGTTTCATTTGATAATAATAATATGTGAGGCAGTGTCAGTTTAGATACACTGTAGTGTTAGTTTAGATACACTGTAATTTCAGTTGGTAATTAACACACACAAAAATGTGCGTTCCGTTACAGTAACGGCGCGCCGTTTCTTTACTTAAAAAAATGGCCATTTTGACCACAGTGCATGTGCACCGCGATCCACGATATAACGACTGATGCTGGATTTAGTACTTACTTATGTATCACTTTTTTCTTAGAGAAGATAAAATATTTTTTATATTGAGAAAACACAAAATTAAGAGATAAAAAAATATAAACGAAAATAAAAAATAAGAAGAGTTTACGTGGTTCGGTTGAGAGCTTACGTCTAAAAGAGCCAAAGAAGATACATTCAAAGTTATAAGTATTATAAATTAAACAACTTTAATAGCCAAGTACCTTGTGCTCAGATAGCGTGTAGTGATTCTTCCTGTAAGAGGTCATGAGATCAAGTCTCACTTGAATAGATTCAGTTGCATTCAAAAAATAACCTTAATAGTATATTTTTATAAGACTCGCTCAACAAATACAATTCAAATTTAAATCATGTTCCATTTCAACATTTGTCATCTCTCAATAATATAAGAGATACACAACATCTTAAATATTTCTTCAGTTCAAAGATAAATAAGAATAGAGTTACTATTCTTAACCATAAAAATTTGATTTGACATAACGTGTTATGATGAATTTATTATCAAATTACAATACTTTTAATTAGATAACCAATAACGTACTCAAGATATATATGCCATCAACTCAATGCGGGTGATCAGCATGTGATTGCAATGTGGGCATTTCTTGGAATTTGGTAAAACTGCTTACCAATTACAAAATTATATAATCTTTGGTTTCATGTGGATTGTGACTACTAATCTACCATACGTGTCTCTACCTCCCTTTCTTTCTCATGAGTCATGGATATATATATATATATATATGTGGCACTTTCTGAATCAGTCCACAAGAGAATCTTTATATAGACATAATGGTAAAATACAGACTAACTCTAGTCCAATCAACTACTTAATAAGCTTAGTTCATCTGTATTTATTATACGAGAAAGTCTTACACATCTCTCATAAAACATGATAACAAAACCAATAAACTGTTGAGCATATAACTATTAATGTGCAATCAACTATTAGCTTAAGCTTTTATCTCTACGTCACCCGATAAGCGATCACGGTCCACGTGTTGCTTGAACCCACCGCACACGTGAAGGGACCTGTTGAGCATATAACCATTAATGTGCAATCTAACTATTAGCTTAGGCTTTTAGTTGAGATGGAACACATGTTTCAATTGAAACAAATTAAATTAAACAACAAAATTGTTGAACATTTGTGTTCATAGGTAGATATATGTGATGTTCTGGTACAAGGCATGAGATTTCTGGAAGACACTATAGCACCCAAGAACCAACAACATATATATGGCTGCAGGTTAATTGTCTGCAGATGAGGAATTCTGTGGGGGTTCCATTTTGATTTAGAGGCTAAAAGACAAAATGAATGAAAGATCATGGAAGGACGTACAGTATTCTAAAATAGATCAAATATGTATATATGGACCACTAATCACATAAACTAAATTATTTCAAGATGTAGATGGATATGGTAGTTAAGGCAATCCTTCAAGAAATATATGAAGTGATCGATAGAGATGTGCACGAATGGCCTGTTGCTCCATAGGAAACTTCAACCACCATCATATTGGTACTAAATTTAATTTCCAAATACATAGGAAACTTCCACCATTGTATTCATCCTAAACTTTCCAAATACATTAATACATTTCTTTAATGTAGTTAGTCTCAACTAGATCTCATTGGCACCGTTTAAATGAAACTTGTCTTGTGACTTTAATCCGTAAAGAACCACAAAGAGAAAAACTGGTTTAGTTAATTAGTTCAAATTAAGAAGTTATGGTCCATAAATAATTTTCACAAAAATTTAAATTAAAATCAACTGTCCAATTAACTTGGTTGAAATTAAATTACCTTCAATCTCATACTTAAATAACTTATGTCTCTTTACTTTTGAGTGATGAAAAAATTTTGCCCCACTATTTAAAGATATGCGTAAAATAAATCATATCTTATGACTCTAGTCAACAAAAAACTACAAAAAGACAAACCAACTTAAATTATTCAAAACTGAACTTACTAACCCGTCATAAGATTCTAGTTAATAAAATATCACAAAATGACAAATTGATCTGAATTAATCATAATTGACCGACTCAAAACAAGAAAGTTATAAATTACTTACTGAAAATTAAACGTATAACTTTGTAATTACTAAGTTAAACGTATAATTTTGTAATTACTAAATTAACAGTCTGATTAACTTGACTAGAATTTCGTGGGTTTTGTGGGGAAAGGAGAGGGGAGGGGGGCAACAGAGAGCAAGAAAGAGATGAACTTTGGAGCAAAAACTTTACAACATAATCACATAGTTTTTCCTTTTAATTACAAAACTGATCATGTATATACATTGAAATTCATAAGCACAACACTTAATAAAATCTGGGATGCTTATGAAGAATTTTGTGACATGCACAAACTTCATCAGTGGCATGAGATAACATTCAAAAGAGAGGTTCTTGATCTAATCAAGGCTCTAAATGAATTCTCCAACCCATTTTCTATCCCTTCAAGCTGTGCTCCCACCCTCTCCAATTCATCTATCTTGTTCGTCCTCTGTTCTTCCTCCTGGGAATTAGCTATGGCCCCCTTGTGCAGAACCAATCTCGAAACCACACACCATTTGCTTGGCCTTGGCTTCGCCTTCGAATTCGAAACCGCCATTGATAAGAACACCAGCACTTTCTGCAGAACAGAATTGGCCATGGAACTCGACTCTCTCAGAGCTCTAATCACAGCACAAACATGGTGATCAACGTTATAATCCAACAAGACTGGGGTCCAGATTTCTTGGTCCATTTTTTTCAGAGACGTGATCAATCTTCTGGCTTCCTGTTTCATCTTTTTCCCAAAAGAATTGTATTTGTTTTCCTTTCGTCTTCTCAGACAGGACTGGAGATCCCAGATAGATTCCTTAAACTGCAAAACAATCTCCCTCGTCGCCGCGCAGATGTCGAGAATCTTGACAGAATTTTCCAGCAATTCATCCGCCCATTTCTTGTCCTCCTGAATGGACAAAGCTTGGATTGTGTACGGCAAGGTGAGAAGAGAATCCACGGATTTCTGGAGCTCCGATAACGCCTCGAGACCGGTGCAGATTACCTCGGCGTCGGAGGATTCCGGCGAGGTGGTTTCCCAGGATTTGAGTTTGTTGAGTTCCTCTTCGGTTTTTGCGGTGGTGGGGTGGGATCTGGAGGGTAAACTGATTGATCTTGCGCTGCCCAGGGCTTTGGATTTTGACGATGACGAGGAGAAGGAAGTGGCCATGGCTGCCGGTGTTGATTTTGGTTGGGTTGAATTCAATGGATTTTGTTGATGGGTATAAATGGTTTAAACTGCAGGTGTTATATACAGAAAGGAGAAAGAGGTGTGAGGAAGAAGACAAGATGCGCAATCCGCTGCTGCTATATGGCAATGTGATCGCCATGTGATCTTGGGTAGGCCTGTTACAGCCTAGGCAAACATTAGTTTAAACGGTTGCTAATCTATTCATTAAAGCATGTTTTTGCTGACATAGACAACTCAGTTGGTCATGGGAGCGAATTGTAAGAATAATAATTCTGAATCGCGTAATAAGCAAAGGTTTAACTTTTATATTTATTTGAGTTATCATAATTTACATCCTCCCAATATTGTGTCGAGTCAGAACCTGAAAACCTTAAGGTCTGAAATTTAACGTTTTGAAAACAACAATTCATAATTTCTATCTTAACTAAATGTTCAAATTACTTTTCTTTCCAAAGGTTGAATTCCAACCCTAAAGGCCCCTTTCACCCCGACCCGACAGAGCATCTAAAAAGATGTAAATAATGGTAACTCAACTAAACATGAATCATTGAGAATAGACTTTTGCTTACTGCGCACAAGAAAATCAAATTACTTTTATGATTCCTGCATTCTATAAATTCACATTAAGTGTATGAGGGATAAAATAAGTCAATTTAATTTCGACTTACAATTAAATTGTACTTTTTTTTTTTTTTTTTTTATCGAAGCTGAACCCAAATCTTTAGGGAGCGTTTGGTTCATGAAATGTTAAATTGTTGGGAATATTAAATTCTTGTATTTGGTTTAAAACTAAGATATGTAAATAAGACAATAGTAATAAGATAAATTGATTAAAACATCCAAAGCCCAAAATTAATAATAAGACAAGAGAATGTGAGATTACCTAAGAAATTGGAGGGTATCTCAGATTCCTTTCTAATAGCTAAAAATTTAATGTAGAGGTTATCTGACATTCTCTGAAAAAATTACATAACCTCAATCAAACATGAGAATCTTATATTATCAAGCAAATATAACTTTGATTATCTTATATAACCTGAACCAAACGCCCTTTATTGTTAGTTGTAAGAATCAAACCCTCACTTTGGTGCTAGAAGCTGGCTGGCTACATCCTTGCTTTTTGTACACACTGCACCAATCCTTTGCTATTTTGTGAACTTTTATTGCCCATATATATTGTTCTATGAGTCAGAAGTGGTTCACCTTAAATACTTGATGTGGTTATGAATATGATCAAGCATGCATAGAGAACACTTGGTCCTTCATATTTTCAAGGGCCACGTGCCGAGAGTATACTGCATATCACACGGGGTATTATACTTTTTAATAATATTATACCTTCCTAACGTTACTGTCAACTGTCATATATATCCTCATTCAAACATTTTAACCCAATTTCTTGTAAGTTGACGTACAATGCAATACTTTTTAGTAATATTATACCTTCCTAATATTGTTGTCAACCGTTGTATATATCCTCATTCAAAGATTTTAACTCAATTTCATGTATGCCTACGTGCAATGCAATGCTTTTTAGTAATATTATACCTTCCTAACATTGTTGTCAACTGTATATCCTCATTCAAAGATTTTAACTCAATTCCCTGTATGTCTGCAGTTTGAAGTATGTGTTCCATCTCAACTAAAACCCTAAGCTGATATATAGTTGGATTGTACATTAATGGTTATATGCTCAACACGCCCCCTCACGTGTGCAGTGGGTTCCAAGCAACACGTCAACCATGACCTTTGGTCTGGCTCTGATACCAAATTGAAACATGTGCTCCATCTCAATTAAAAGGCTAAGCTAATAGTTGGATTGCACATTAATGATTATATGCTCAACAATGTTAACCGTCATATATATCCTCATTCTAAGATTATGACCCAATTCCCTGTATGTCAACGTGCAATACAATGCTTTTTAATAATAGGAATAAGGTTCAAATTGGCCACTGAACGTAACCTAAAAATGCAATTAGGCCACTGAACGAAAAAAAAGTGCAATTAGGCCATTGAACACTCAAAAAATGTGCAATTAGGCCACTGAACTCTCCAAACGTATGCAATTTTACCGGATAGCAGGTTACCATCAATTTTAGCAGGTTACCTGCTTACGTGGCAGCTTAGTTGACATTTTTAATAATTTTTAAATAATTTTTAATAATTAATTTTAATAATAAATTTTATAAAAAAAATTGGAAAAAATTAAATAAAAAATAAAATAAAGTTATTTTTATTTTTTAAAAAAATTAATAAAAAAATTAATATTAAAATTTATTAAAAATTTATTAAAATTTATTAAAAATGTCAACTCAACTGCCACGTAAGCAGATAACCTGCTAAAATTGAGGATAACCTGCTATCAGGTGAAATTGCACATTTTGGGAGTGTTCAGTGGCCTAATTACACTTTTTTTTTTTCGTTCAGTGACCTAATTACATTTTCAGGTTACGTTCAGTGGCCAATTTGAACCTTATTCCTTAATAATATTATACCTTCCTAATGTTGCTGTCAACCGTCATATATATCCTCATTCAAAGATTATAACTCAATTCTCTATATGTCAATGTATAATGCAATATTTTTTAATAATATTATACTTTCATAACGTTACTGTCAACCGTCACCGTCATATATATCTTCATTCAATTTTTTTAACCTAATTCCCTGCATGTCGACGTACATGCACGTTACTTAATCTTGGGCTTCTCTAACCCTGAGGATTGATTAATCCATGTGCAAGAATCGTTTGCATGGAATTTCTCTTTTTAAGAGAATATAGTCTATTTTTTTAAAAATATGTATCTTAGCTTCTTTTTAAATTGATACATATTTTAATGCGAACAAAATATATTACATTAATGTTTGGGTGGTGCCTCATCAGCTCCCTGTAATCTCGGCATTTATGCCACTTCGCGTTTTGAAAACGTACGTGGCGTGTTGAGTGTGCCTAGGTTGGAGGAGCCCCCGAGTTTCATGGGTTGTACGTGTTACGTTCATCAGAAAATGTTGGGATGGGAAGGTTCATGGTAAGGTTGTAACACTAACGTATATATAGTACATACTAGATGTCTAGATACATCAACTACTACACCCATCCAATCCTCAAACTAGGATAACACTTATGTAAGACCATTTCACAGGTCTAAATTTATGAAATAGATCGAATCTTTGATCACTACTGGAAATTATGGAATTTCCGACCACTTGAAAATGATCTTAAATTAAGTTGATATCAAAAAGTCCAAAAAGTGGTCGGAAATAGCAACAAAGGTTTTTCCGGATACCAAAAGTGGTCGGAACAAGGCTTTTAACTTGATTTAAGATCATTTTCAGGTGGTCGGAAATTCCATAATTTCCAGTAGTGGATTAATGGATAACGCTTGTGTAAAACGGTCTCATGTGTTTCAATCCGTGAGACACGGACCTTTGATTAATGCGTCAGGTCTTTGATCTCATTGATTAAATATCCGACCCACCTCACAGATTGGGACTCGTGAGACGATTTCACACAAATTTTTGCATTGATTAATAGGTCAAATCTTTGACCTCATTAATTAAAGATCCGATCCGTCTCACGAAGTGAGACCCGTGAGACGGTCTCACACAAGATTTAATTTTACCATCAAACTAAGAGCATCATGTTGTATTGCAAGTTTGTTTGCAGGCCTTTAGCTCGTGAAGAACAGTAAGAACAAGAAGAAGAGTAGAGACAAAATAGAGGGTTTCTTATTCCTTTATACCACACCTATGATCATTACATTAGAATGACATATATATAATAACAAGTGTAACGGAATACAATAATGGAGACATAAAGGAAACCGTTACATAATAATGTCCACAATCATTACTATTTATAACACTCCCCCTTGGACATTATTTGTCGATGATCTAGCCTCGTTAAAAACTTTCTAGGAAAACCCTGTGGGAAAAACCTAGACAAGAAAAGAGTACAACAGAAAATATATTCATGCCTCATTAAAAACTTCACTAGGAAAACCACGTGGGAAAAACCTAGTTGAAGAAAAGAGTACATGATATATACAAAAACATATATTGTATTTGGTCGCCTCATTAAAAACCTTAACTTAAGAAAACCCTGTGGGAAAAACTTAGTTAAGGGAAAAAGAGTACAACCATAAGCCTTCAGGGCGCAAACCGCATAATCTTCAGGATTTTGGGGTTTGTCCATTTAAGCAATTATTTTGCAACTTTTCCTCATTGTCATTACTATATCATACTCATGCCTCGTTAAAAACCACACTAGAAAACCCAATGGGAGAAAACTAGTGAGGAAAAGAGTACATGATATTTATGTATTTATGTGTTGCAAATAGTGCGCAATTGTTAGTCTTTTATGACTTAATCTTCGGGATTTTACGTTCAATGTTCAATCTTCCGGATTGATTCGAGTAAATGTACTTCCAGTCCCCCCCTGAAGATAACAATCTTCAAGTTTTACATATATTTCAAATTTTGAAGAGATGGATTGGACAAATCTTCTGGATTGTCACTTAGAGTAGTGTACAATAATCTTATGGCTCTTCTAGAGCTAATATAACATTTGTGCAACACAAGTTTTATTGTCCTCATTTTGAACATTTAGGGAAATTCATTGTATAACCAGTTTGGACTTGGCATTGCGGGGATCAAACAAAACAGCCAGTACCCAAGTAGCCTATTAAAACCGTATCATGGTTTCTTACATAAATGTTATGTCTTTGTATCTCGAAGATACCGGAGGATATGTTAATCATTATTCAAGTACTTCATTTGTAGGGGGGGCACTAGATTTTGCTAGCAATTTTATCGCAAATATCTTGCGGTTATGGAACTTCTGGTTCTATAATGGTGCTCCAATGATAATGAAGTAAGGGACTTCGAGTCCAAAAAGGTTCCTTATCTACTTCAAGAGATTATTAGGCAACCTTTAGTTTGATAAAACATGACACTTATATGCATATAGACATATG